GCCCCAAATCAAATAAATAAGTAACACAAATAAAATAAATCTCTTCATATAAACAAACTAAGGCTTTGTCTGTGCTCTTTCCATTTAAAATTAGAGGCAACCACTGCATTTTAATCCTGATCCAAACAAAGATGCTGCATACATGCAACATGAGCAGTTTTTAATCTAAATTACATTGTATAATTTCGAAATTTGAAGCAAAAACAGAATGGTTTGACTTCAGTTTTGTGAAACTATGCATAAAAAATATCTGCATGAAACAGAAGATGAGCTGAACGAGACGCAGATTCACTCTCCGCCAGCAGGTAACGTGTTTCCTTGGTTTCCGCTGTAAACAAAGCAGCGCTGCACTTATAAACTTTAATATGCATTATACAGAGGCAAGAGGAAAAGAAAAAATACCATCTAAACTTTTCTAAAGACAGTAAGTTCCCCTCAGACATGCATTCATATAAACTCCTACCCCTAATTGAATCGCGATTTGTTTAGCATCTCAACCGATTTGAATCGTCACATATTTAAATCGATTTTCAACCAGCTCGCAGTTAATCGTTACATCCCTACCAAGAACTAAAGACATTCAGAGAAGGTCCCATCACCACCATGCTTCTGAATAAAGCCTTGATTTCCAGGTTGGTTCATTGAAACCATTCCTAAAATGAATGTACTGTTTCTTTAAATGAAAAGAACTGAAAAGAAAAGTTTTTTTTTTCTTCTTTTGATGTAGTTCTTTTACAAAAAAAGTCTCATCCTTTCAAAGGCTGCATTTATTTGATAAAAGTAAAATAACAGTAATATTGTAAAATATTATTACAATTTAAAATAACAGTTTTCTATTTTAATATACTTTAAAATGTAATTTATTCCTTTGATGGCAAATCAGAATTTTCAGCAGTCATTACTCCAGTCTTCAGTGTCACTTGATCCTTACGAAATCATTCTAATATGCTGATTTGGTGCTTTAGATACCTTTCTTTTATCAATGTTGCCCACAAAAGCCCCATCTCTCATTGAATCACCTACATTTGTATAAATGTCACTCAATTTTAGTACTCCCCTTATATTTTATGTTACTGAAAAAACTTCATATAGTTTTATCAAAAACTTTTAGTCCAGTTTTACATTTAAGTTACTTTATATAATTGTCCTCCAGACACAGAATAATACATATACAGTATATAAAGCAGTTTCCTGGCCCAGGACAAACCCTGCTTGCTTACCAAATGGAGGAGGTTTCCTTCTAGCCAGTGTGTCCAGCCTCTGCCCTCTTTCTCTCCTCGCTGCACGCAGATCAATTTATCACCGTCCCAATTCACTGTGGTCTGAAACATATGGAGAACATTATCCATTAGCGACACACATACCACACTTTCCCACACTCCTTTGTCTGGCTGATGTTACTTTTAAAGGGGCCTGTGTGTTTCTCACAAATACATTACAAATGGGTAAACTAGGAACAAATATATATATAAAAACACACACACCTGGCACTTTCGCCCATCGACTGGTCCCAGGTCCTCAGTGAACTCCTGTCCCAAAGTGAAGTCCATGTCAAAGTTCTTAAAGGTGGTGACTGTCTTAATCTTCATTTTTCCAGTGTTCACATCGTGTTCAATATGTTTGCTGGGTTTCAGAATACAGACGACTTTCCTTAATGCATAATTAACATCTGATGAGGAGAGAAAGAGAGATTAAACGATTAGCACACTTAAGAAAATTATGTCATTATTTACTTAACCTTATGTTGTTCCAAACGGTATTTTTTTTTTCTACAGTGAAGAAATACTTTTCAGTACAATGAAATCAATCTGAATCACTTGAGCAAGTTCACATATCCAGTCTAAAGGATTTGTTCTGAAACTCACTGATTCAATGATCTGGTCACACTCGCAGCGGTAAAAGAAGATTATCAGTGAAAAGCAGCTTGCATTTCAGTTTGTTCATCACTCAGAGCTACTGTATGAATTCAGGAGATTTGGAATATAATGCATGAATTGTGTGAATCGCTTTTATGATACTTTCATGCTGATTTTAAGTTTGAATGCTCCATTATTCCAAATGCATGAAAAAGAGTGACAAACAAGTTACTGAAAATAACTTTTCAATAACTTTTTTCACAAAAGAAAGGCAGTCAAAGGCTACATACAAGTTTGGAACAACATCATTTTTATTTTTAGGTGAACTAACCCTTTAACACCATGTATAACGTGATGAGACAAGCATTACAAGGTCTTATCCAAATAATATGGATATGATAAAGGGTTCAGGGACAAATTCAGACATGTCTTCACTTTTCCAATTGTATTCTTCACAAACTAAATTGCTATAAAGGCTTTCTTCCCCACGGCAAGAAGATGATTGGACTGTATTTCATTACATTCGCCCAGATTAAAAGAGGTACATCATCCTCATGTTCACAGATGTTTGAAGACAGGTGGAAGAGGAACATCACAGTCAACACAAGCATCAAGTTACAATCAAAGTGAGTCACTGTGGTTCGTTTTGAATAGACTCTTTATATACTACAGCAGTTCACTGATTATAAGCTCTTATACTGCTGAACTGAGAAAAAAAACAACAACATAAAATATATTGTTGCTTACCCAAAGCCGCGAGATATTCTTCAAAGTGTTCCTGGGAAACCATGTGGTAAATGCCAGTATAATTAGGTTTGGACATTTTCTCGGTGTTTTATTTATTTATTTTTTTTACACGAATCCAACCAAACCTTGTGTGATCTGTAGCTCTGTGGGCTCACTTTTCCCTCTGGTTATCTGTCTGGATCTCTATCCGTGTCTCTAGGCAGCACCTATTGCATTGTTCGCTAGTTAATTTGGTTAAATTATAGCGCGATTGACGCCGTTTCCTTCTAACAGCACGCGTCGCGACGTGAAGACACCGAGCGGAATCTGTGGTCAGTGTTTCCGGGAATTTATTCCATGATGTTGCGTTACACAATGCTCCAAGACCTAGCTCCGGTTCGTCCTCTGTAAGTAAACCCAAAAGCGTCTGACTCCTCCCTAGCCAGTTCAATTCCGATCAGAGCAAAGAGCCAAATCCTCCCAGATTTGGGGATCGCTTTGCAGGCATTAAGGGGTGCTACAGGTAGGTTGAAGTTTTCCCTGAAGTTGTCAAATAGTCACTTTAATATATAAAAATACTCACAAAAGAATTAGATATAGTGATTTTACCTCTTTAAAATATGCAACTTACGCATCTTATTAAATATGCAATTATTGCAATTTTTATTTAATGAAATCGTTAGGAAAAAATAAATAAATAAAATATTTCCGTTACTTGAAATTAAATAAACTTTAGCTGAAACAAAATAAAAGACATTTCGCATATTAATGTACTTTAACTTGATGTACTAAAGAAAACTAAAACGGAAATAAAAAATATATAGACGTATTTAAAAAACTGTCAAAAACACGACATTAGCTACTTAAATTTTAACTAAAAATTGAAAAAGTAAAACTAATTAAAATAATAAAAGCTATAATTGTATCTCAGTGATCAATTTTTATATTATTATTAATAATAATAGTATTAGGCCTACATTTTTGTAACGATGTGAACCTATTGCATTTAGTATATAAGCAAAATCGCAGTTGAAAGATGCTAACTATACTTACTAAAGGTGAGAATGTGATTTTAAATCCTAAAAAAAAAAAAGTTTATCAATAATAGGATGAATAATAATTCATCTAATTTTCTGACAGTTTGATAGAAGTTGGGTATCACTGAAAACAAAACATTTTTAAACCCAATCATAATATTCATAATTTAGGTCTGTACCTTACTCAAACCTTATAAACAGTAACTTAAACAACACTCGCACTCTTTTTGCTACTGTTGAGAGACTGACAAACCCCCCAAGTCAGATTGCCAGTGAAATGCTCTCCGACAGCAAATGCAATGAGTTTGCTTCCTTCTTTTCTGAGAAGATCAATAATATCAGGAAGGCGATTAGCACATCCCCAAGTTATGCAGAGGTCAGACAGATTCGACCACAATATTCACTGAATATAAACCTAACAGACCACTCAGATCATTAGGATCGAGTCAGTTAGAAATACCAAGGGTTCACCCAAAACAAGGGGAGTCTGCTTTTAGTTATTATGGCGCCCGCAGTTGGAATCAGCTTCCAGAAGAGATCAGATGTGCTAAAACATTAGTCACATTTAAATGCAGACTCAAAACTCATCTGTTTAGCTGTGCATTTATTGAATGAGCACTGTGCGATGTCCGAACTGATTGCACTATATTCTATGTATAATCGTTTTCTTAAATTCATTTTAAACCTCTTAAATACATTTTTTAAATCATTTTCAAAGTTTTTAAATTCCTTGTTTTATTGTTGTGATTATTTTTTTCTTTTCTTTTATGTAAAGCACTTTGAATTACCATTGTGTATGAAATGTGCTATACAAATAAACTTGCCTTGCCTTGCCTTACCTCAAAATCAAACCATGCTCTCTCTCACACATTTTTTCTCTGACACACTTTGTTCTGTTGCTCATGTGGCGCTCTGTAAAGTTCATTAATTTCTCCTAATGTTTTTTCCCGCTGTGCCTCTGTGTTAAACAAGGTCAGGCCTGTATGAGGTTTACTGATCAAGGGCCACATTTGACCCTGATGTCTACAGCTCTCTGATGTAAAGAATATGAATGAGACAGGTCCCTCTCTCTGGCATCAGGCCAGAGTTTGTGCTTATCATCTCTCCAGGACATCAACCTTTCCATTCGGCCGTACCGTTACAATAACATCCCGGAAAATTAAACATTCTATGCAAACACGCCTTCATAACAGTCTTTGGACAAGAATTTTATTAAAACTGAGAACGAGTGGATGATTTATATCAATTACAATTCAGTGAATTTACTTAACATTTTTTTTTACTAAATATTAAAAAATTAACAAATACACATAGAAAAAAAACATAATAAGATTTGTTTGATAAGATCAAATAGTTTCTTTGTAATCTTTGTAAACCCTGGCTTTTCTTTAAAACTGCTGAAAATGTATTTTAAAATAAGCTGTACAATCAAGAAGCAAAATTAAATTTCATCTTCTTTCTTTTTTCTTTTTTTTATCGTTTCCTGACAGATCCACTCTTCTTATCCTCCGATTGCTGCTTTTTGACATCTTTCTTTCCTTTTGCTCCCAGATTCTCATAAACGTCTTCATTTTTTCAGAAAAAAGGGAAAAAGAAAAGAAAAGAAATCAGTATAACTGATTAGTCACTAACTTACAGTAGTCATCATAACCCATCCCAACTTCTAGAGGAACAAAGGAGTGAATGAGTTTTCAATGTTTCAAAGTTTTAATGTTTTTGTCAGCAGCTTGAGCTATTAACTGACCCAAACCACAAACACGTGAGAAAGAGGCTTGCCAAACATTGTCCAGTAAGCCAATGATTAGTTCAACTCTGTGATTAGAGCAAGATCAAACTGAAACAATACCAGATCTGAGATATCCAATATCCAACTCAATCCTTCCCTTTCTCTTTCAATGGAATATTGCACAACTAAGGCTTCTAAAAAGCTTGTGTAAGCAGATGGCCGTGTGACTGAGAGATCTTTGAACGGCCTACTTAACAGGTCATCGGTTTGGGAAAGATAAGGGGATGTGAGAGGAATGTTTCTGGATGGTTGTGGGAGTATTTGAGAATACACTACAAGCAGAAGTCTACTTACTTCGCAGAGGCTTTGCGACTGGCCTTCTGGTGTTTAGGCTGAATTGAGAGGTTTCCATATTCGGTTTCTGTTTCCTGTAACAGAAAGTAAAAAAAAAAAAAAAATCAATAGCAATACTAAGTACAACAGAGGGGAGACACAGGATATCAGTCTTATCTTCCCTTTTTACAGTGTTGACTTTGATAAGATATTGCATGGGAACCGTTCTGAAGGCAAATGGATATTATACTTTTTATAAAAAAGATACTATCTTTCAATAGTTTGGGGTCATATGCTCACCAAGGCTGCATTTATTTGACCAAAAAATACAGTAAAAACAGTAATATCATGAAATATTATTACAATTTGTAGTAACTGCAGGCTTCATTGTCACATGATCCTTCAGAAATCATTCTAAAATGCTGATTTGCTGCTTAAGATACATTTCTTATCAATATTGAAATCTGATCAAATATTTTTGTGGAAACTGTGATACACTTTTCTTCCAGGATCCTTTGATTAATAGAAAGTTTAAAAGAACAGCATTTCCTTGAAATAGAAAGCTTTTGTAACATTATAAATGTATTTACTGTCACTTTTTATTTAATGCTTCTTTGCTGAAAAAAGTATTAATTCCTTTAAAAAAATCTTACTGACCTCAAACCAAATATTGGCTTAATTTCCATTTATTAATTTTATTGCATTTCAGAAACCTCTCACCATGATCCTCAGCCATTTTCTTACCATGACAGCCCTTCGTGTGAGTTTAGTCGAGTCTATATACTGTAGCACAGCCAAGTAGATGAACTTGTACTGTGCTTCAGTTTGCACCATGCCAGACCGCTGTTCTCTAACCATCTGAATACACTTCTGGATGTCGATGTCACTGTCCAGACCTGACAAAAACAACATCTTTAGATTCATTTGCAAAAACTGCTACCATGTTTGATCCAGGATCTAGGCTGAAGTACCACCCTGAGGTGTTCATGTGAAATGTGGTTGCAACAACTAAGAATAAGCCTATTATAAGATTATAAGACTAACTGTATTGATTTGTGTAAAATATCTGGACTATTTGAAAGGGAAGCATATTAGCTAAACATAATGTAGGTTCCAGAAAGCCTGAGGACATTCACAGGTTATAATGATTTAATTAATCTGATTGCACTGCATTAACCCTCAGTTGCAATAGTTTTGCCATGGTAACGTTCATTAATGTTTTGATATAAAGATGAATACTGAAACAGTACTGACCTTTCTAGAATGTTTTTAAGCTTAAATAAAATTGTAAACTACTCATTAAGAGCTGGACTTGATTAAAAACTAGGATTCACAGGATTCCAGAGGTTTGAGTAAAATCAACCTAAATACACTAATTTCTCTACTGAGTTGAGAATTTATATGTTTACGCATTTAGCAGACACTTTTATCGCATTCAAGGTATTCATTTAATGAGTTCATCAGTTCTCAGGGAATCGAGCCTATGACCTTTCACGTGATGTTGCCATAGAATGGTACCATGAAGGTATTACCGGGACAATCCATAAGGATTTAAGTGCTTTTCTGAAGGGTACAATGGCTACAAAGGGTACAATATTTTGCCTCAGCGGGGAACTGAACCAGCAACCTTCCAGATACCAGGATGCTGACATTTTAAAGCATCACAGAAAGCAGGTTTTTTTTCATAGTGTGTCCACACGAACGCGGTTATTTTTAAAACCGCAGCTTTTTCTACACGGTTAGGCCGTTCGTCCACACGCAAACACAGCACCAGTTCACTGAAACCGAACATTTTAGAAAATGCCTGCCAGGGTGAATATTTCCAAAAACTCCGGTTGCAGTGTTATCGTGTAGACAGCGAAACCGGAGTTTTTGGCTTGTGATGTCGGTGCCTGCGCTGTTATCGCCGCCTACTGGAGACTTTTTCAGACTTCTGATTGGCCAGCATGGCTTTACTTTTGAGATTATATCGCCATCTGTTGGTTTGGCATGCTCTTGACAGTGCTTCATAGCATGGGTTTGCGTTTTCATGTGGACGGAGATTTTTTTTAAAACGGAAGAAGGAAAAACTCATAAATACCCGTGTACGTGTGGACATGGCGACAAGGGAGACACATTCCCATTTACACCTGCTGTTTTAATCCATCTCTTTTAGGCCCTGTCCACACGAACGCAGTTATTTTTAAAACCGCAGCTTTTTCTACACGGTTAGGCCGTTCGTCCACACGCAAACACAGCACCAGTTCACTGAAACCGAACATTTTAGAAAATGCCTGCCAGGGTGAATATTTCCAAAAACTCCGGTTGCAGTGTTATCGTGTAGACAGCGAAACCGGAGTTTTTGGCTTGTGATGTCGGCGCCTGCGCTGTTATTGCTGCCTACTGGAGACTTTTTCAGACTTCTGATTGGCCAGCATGGCTTTACGTTTGAGATTATATCGCCATCTGTTGGTTTGGCATGCTCTTGACAGTGCTTCATAGCATGGGTTTGCGTTTTCATGTGGACGGAGATTTTTTTTAAAACAGAAGAAGGAAAAACTTAAAATACCCATGTACGTATGGACATGGCCTAACTCTTTTCTCACAATTGCACGTTTATGTCTCACAAATTCAGACTCTTCTTCTCAGAAATTTAGCATCTCGCAATTTTGAGTTTATTTCTGGCAAAAACTAAAAAAAGTCAGAATTGCAACATATAAATCTCACAGTTTATATCTTGCAATTCTGATTTTTTTACTTCTTAGAATTATGAGTTAACATTTCAAAATGTTGACTTGTTTTTTCTTAGAATTCTGAGTTTACAGCTCGCAATTCTGACTTTTTTTTGCGAAATCTGACTTAACATCTCACGATTCTTTTTTTTCCACTGAATTCCGAGTTATTAAAAAAGGTAATTGCAACTTTTTAAACTCACAATTCTGACATTTTTCTTACAATTGCGAATTTATATCTCAATCTTTTCTTCTCAGAATTGTGAGTTAATATCTCACAATGTTTATCTTTTCTCTCTCTCTCAGAGTTTGTATCTTGCATACACAGTTTTTCTCTCAAAAGTGCGATAAAAGTCAGAATCATAAGTTAATCTATTATTTAAATGACAATTTAAGTTAAGTTTAATTTCAGTTTAAGTAAAACTTTAATTTAACAAACAAAACGAAAATTTGAAATATTTACTATTTGTTTTTATTTTATCTCAGTTAACAGTTTTATTTCAATTAATGTAAAAGTTTTTTTTTATTTTAGTTAACGATGACAGCACTGCTCTGGACTCACAGTGATGGAGTCGTAGGCTCCGGTGATGGGCGCGATGAAGAGCGACAGCACCATGTAGATGAAGAGCGAGATGAAGCTGTAGAGATAGCTCCACCTCCGAGAACGTGGCAAACATGTCGTCTCCATTAATGAGAGAAAACAAGACACTCCGACACCATAGAGAGAGAGCGGAACTGAGATCAGAAGAAATGGATATGTCAGCATATGGCTAGTAAAGAAATCCTTTGGACTTTAGCGTGGTAATTTGTGACCCGTGCTGGCAAAATGAATCGGAATGCGCACATGCTTATTTTGGGCTACAGGCAAAAAAGTAAAAAAATGTGAATTTTAGTTGATTTTGAGGTTTTCACAAAAATGAGTTCATTAAGCCCTAGTCTAGCGACCACAATGCTCCAAATAGTAATTTTAGATGTTTAATTACCTTTATTTGTATGTTTTCTAAGAGGAGTACCTTTTCTTCGCTCGCTTCTTGCGCAGACTGTCATCCGAAGCGCGTGATCCCGATAAATATACACATATACACAGAATTACAGTATTTAAGTATTCACACAAACATAATCTGTTATGTCTTAAGTGAACGTTT